GGGAAACGATTCTCACCTCGTAATAACCTAACTGTACTTAATTCAATATCGGGAAGTTATCTTTGCCATTCTAGATTAGTTTAACAGTTATCTTGATTGTAAGAAACATTAATAAAGAGTGTCGACATTGACCAACGACATGTTTAAGTCTTTATAAGACGTACATTTAAATTTATTTAAAATTTTAGTTGTAGAAAAGTTGTTTAGTAGTTGTCGGTTGCGCCCCTACGGGCGTCGCAGCTCGCAGGGGCCGCACGAATCGTTACGTCCTTTTCAAAAAGCGCTCAATTAAAAAAAATCGTATATTAAATACTTTTTGTACAATATTCTCTATGTAGAATTTATGCGTTAGCAAAATAATTTTCAAAAATTTAGACATTTACATAAGCGGTGTTTTGGCTAAACAAAATGGACTGGTTACGCTAAATATCATGTATAAAAGCTCTACAGATTGTATAAGACCAAATTTAAAAAATACTCAGAAATATATTTTAAATGGCATGTTAATATTTATGACGTTATTAGAAAACGGTATCTTTAGAAAAAAATGGACGTCTCTGTTCTTAGGTCGAATACTTGGTTATTGATATATTGTTGGGGACTTGGCCGTTTAGGATTCGCTTGTCCGTGATAGCTGCAGCTCGTAGCAGGCTAGAGGCAACTCGCTCAAATGTCAATTGTTTACGTTCTTACTTATATCAAACTCCTTAACAGTCTGTCGTTTGCGTTACAATATCACATAGTCTATTATATCTATTTGTAAGGGATCCCACGCGAACGAGCGGCTTGAATCGATCAATGTGAATGCTTCTGAATGCCTCTTTTATCACAGCCCTTTTTTATTTCCTACGACAAATAATTACTCTTTGGTTCCATCATTCAGAAGCATGCGAACATTGTCGGCTCACTAGTTCGCTGAGAACGCCACAAATAGTCCCGACACCTAGAATTCGAGTCTGTACGCGGCGCAGGAGGTCTCGTGGTCCTGCAGGTTGATGGTGCAGCGCGAGGCTGACGGCGACAGGTCGATCTTGTATTTTTCCAACGCCTCCTCGTTCTCCGTGACCCAGTAGCCCAGCACGTCCGTGTCATATGTCGGAATGATCGTTACTTCTGGAATTAGAAAACGATAAAAATGTAATGTTTGCTGTATGGTATAAAAAAGACATAGGGAAAATGAGATCTAATCGAAATGAAACTTTGACCCACCTAATTCTTTATCTTCCCAAGTCTTCTTAGCGTCGAGAAGAGCATTGTAAATCTCTTTCGAAGGCTCGGTGCCCGAGAACACGTAGTAGCGAGCTCTGACGCGCTTAAAGAATTCAATCGCGGAGTAGTAAGAGTTGCCGTGGTGGGGCACGTACGTGAGTTCCATGTACACGGGGCTCGGGGATTTCTTCTTACTGGGAGACTCTGATGCTCTATTTTTCATATCTTTACTCTTCTCTTGATTCAACTTGTTCTTCAATTGAACGTTTGAACTGGGCCCTTGTCTTTTAGGGGTGTTTTTGCTGTCACCCTGTGTAGGAGGTTGAATGGGACTAGGTAGACCTAAGGGCTTCCCCCAAGATTCGATAGGATCTTTTTCTACGCTTTGACTTTGAGTTTTAGATTTTGATTCCTGTCTCGTGGCACTGAATGAAGATGTCTCAGATGATTTCTTTGATTCAGACTTGATATCCTTTAATGTAATTGTACTTTCTTCTTTTGATGACAGTTGTTGACTCATACTTGAATGACTTTGTTGGCCCAATTCATATTTAGCTGTAATACTTGAAATTACATCAGATCCACTAACTTTTTTATGTTCTTCTATTGCCTTTTCGAAATGTTCATCAGCTTCTTTAAGGAATGTGATGTCAGACTTAAATGATTGTTTTTTGTCAATAACTTGAACTTCAGACTTAACTTCGGAATGCGTGGATGATGTACAGGAATCAGTATCAACAATATGACTTAAATGCACGGATGGTGACGATTCTCTATATGTCATGGACTCAAATTCAGATTTGTCTTCTGGCAAATCTGGGCAAGTCTCCGAAAGCTGTGATAATTTTGGATCTAGTTCAAAGCTAACGTTTGATCGCGGTGAGTGTGCAATTTGAGATTTTGTACTACTTGGACTCATTTGTCCATCGTCGTCACTATAGTACATGCCACTGCTTTCAGTACCCCACACATGCGTCGCTGCCCTTGATCCTCTGGAACTTATGTCCGAGGGTGGTGTTGAAATCCCGGGATGGTCTAGGTCATCACTGGCAGCGGACGAACTACGCATGTCCCCTGTTTTAGATGAAAGTTTAGAAAACGACTTTTCACTCTCGCCCGTATCAATAATTTCTTCATACTCTTCTTTGATTTCGGATATTGTTGTTTTTGTTGACTTTGTAGTTTTGACAATGCCATCGTTTCCTTTACTTACAGTAGTAGTTTCAACAGTGATCTTAATTTTTTCCGGTGTGATGACTTCTTTCGTTGTTACAACAGTGATGGTCTGCGTGATCTCGTTATCACCTTCTTTAATAATTTTTGTAAATGTTTCAGTATCTGTCGTTATTTCACCTACGGGAGAACGTTGTTTTCTAGGCTTTTCCGCTACATTCTTTCCATGCTTGTCTTCAAGAATTAAGTCATCAATTTTAGGCTTATCTTCTACCGTTGTCGGTTGTTTGCTGGTAATTTTTTCTAAATCCTCCGGCGACCAATCGTCTAGTCCAGTGCCTGGTGGCAGATATGTGATTTGTGTTCTAACATCTTTTGTAGTTTCAATCGTACCATCATTGTGAACGTTTTCAGTAACTGTTTCAGTTACAGTTTTCACAGCGATCTCGCTTGTGTCGTTATTCTTAAACTCTTCCTTAGTCGTGTAGGTTGTTATTTTTTGGGTAACATGTTCATTACTTTCTGTTAAAACATGGTTCGATTGTTTGTCAACTGATGTTTTGATCTTGCCCGTGGAAGTTAAACCTCTTAGAGCGGCCTGTAAATCGCTGTCAGTCGTTTTTTGATATTCGGATATGGTGATTTTAACATCTTTTGTTGTTTCCACTGAACCATCCGGATATTCATCAACTGTAGTGGTTTCAACAGTAGTTCGAACCCGTTTAATATTTTGGTCGTCGCTAGCCAAAGTATCTCGTTTCGTTTTAGTGGTAATAGTTCGTTTAATTATTATCGAGCCTTGTAGGAAAGTTTCTTGCTTAATATCCATTTCTTCAGTAGTATCTTCAACTATTTCTGTATCATCAATAAGAGATTTTGGAACCTCTTCATCTTCTAGTGTTTCGGATGTCATTGTTGGCAAAACATCAGCAATAGATATTTTTTCGCTTCTTTTTGTTATAACTGTACCATCAGGGTATTCGTCTTCTATAACAGTTTCGACAATAATTTTTACTTTTCTTGATCTTGTTGAAGTTCTTTCATATTCTTGCTTTGTTGTTGTAATTGTTGTTTTTCTAGATATAGTGATACCATTTTGATTTACATCTTCCAAGTCGGAACTTTGTGTGATTACAGGTTTACCGATTTCAATAAATTCCTTTAATGTTTCTTCAAGCTTATCCTCTTCGTAGTCAGTTATAGATACTTTGACATCTTTAACCACTTCAACAGAACCGTTTGGTGATGTGGACTCGGTGACTGTCTCTACTGTTGTTTTAATTTTTTTGTTTGAATCTTCAGTTAGTATTATTTCTGTCGTAGTAGTTGTTGTGATGACTTGCTTAATTTTTACTCCATCTCTAACAAGAATATTTGTTCTTTTTTCTACTTTAACGTCCTTTTCTGCTTCTGGTGTATATTCATCCACCGCTTCCTTCTTCTTCTCCTCTTCTTCTTCTTCCGGAAAGATTTCTGATATAGATGTAGTTGTATCTACCGAAGTCTTGGATGAACCATCTGGAAATACGTCTGTTGTTGTAATGGTTTTTACTACTTTTTGTACTATAAAACTGCATCGCATATTTGAATAATGACTTTTAATTATTTTAGTACATATCGTTCGTTTTATTATTAAATCATTTTCTAGTACTTCCTCTCTTTCCACTGTTTCTGTTTCTTCTGGTTCGTCTATTGGTAAAAGCTCTTTGATTATTTCATTAGCCCTAGTACTTTGTAGAGCGTCTTTTAATTCATTTTCTTTCAAATCATTCATGTCGTTTTCCAACTGTTCATCTAATGTAGAAACTCGTTCACTTGTTTTAGTAATCACCGAACCATCTGGATACTCATCTTCTGTAATTGTTTTAACTGTTGTCTTTATTCTTTTAAGCATTTTATTAAAACAGACATATTTTTGAATAGTGGTCGTAATAGTAACAGTCCTGTTTAATGTTACACCTGAGTCAGTTGTTGTTTCTTTTTCAGTTTTTGTTTCTACTTGGGGTTTTCCAACTTTTAAAAATCCGCCTGGAATATCCTCTGGAATGAAATCTTCTGGCTGAGTAATATAATCCGAAATATACATTTTTACATCTTTTGTAACTTCAGTTATTCCATCTGGTAGAATTGATTCAGTAATGGTCTCAACAATAGTCTTTAGTTTTTTCTTTGCTTTATCTTCCGTACTTAAGACTTTTTTAGTGGTTATTGTTGTAACGATTTGCAAAACATTTTTACCATCAAGAATTACATTATTTTCTTGTCGTTGTACTTCAACATTCGTGTCTTCTTCTATCGTGTATTCTGAAAGATCTAAGGTTTCTTCAATATCTTCCACCTCTATATCTGCTAGAGATGTACTTGTATCAATTTTTGTTTGTGTGGATCCATCAGGATATTCATCTGTTGTTGTAACTATTGTAACCGTTTTTAACTTTCTTGGAATACTATCATTGTCAACATATTTAGATTTTATTGTTTTTGTTGATATTGTACGTTTTACAACAACATCATCATATGTGACTGTTTCCGTTTTAATCGAAACATTTTCTTCGGGTTCTTCCAACAGTGAGAAATTGGCAAGTAATTTATCGAAACTACTAGTTGAAGCGACAGTTACGTCTTCTGTTTTAACTTCTACATTTTTCTGTACATTTTTACTACCATCTGGGTATTCTTTAGTCGTATTTGTTTCCACTGTGGTTTTATTTATTTTTTTATTATCATCGATTCGTATGGTTTCTTTCTTTGTTGTTGTAGTAATCGTTTCTATGATATCTAAGTTATTTTCGTTTATAATTTTCTTGCTAACATCAGTATTTATAACAATAGCTTCAATGTTGCTGTCAATTTCTTCATCTTCTTTGATAAAATGTGATTTATCTCTTTCCGAAAATCCTTTTTCACTATAACTTTCTTGAGTCTGATAGCTATATTCCGATTCAGATTTTTCGTCACCATGCTCAATGTGTAATTTATCTAGTTTTTTATCTTTGTCGTACAAATCCATCTGTGAAGTCGATCGAAGACTAGAAGAACATTCTGAAAGTAACGTTTGAGTGTCTGTGGTAGTCGTTATTGATCCATCTGAACTTTTACTAAGAGTAGTAGTCTCAATAGTAGTTTTAACGTTTTGTGGTGTGCCATCTTCTCTAGAAATAATTTCTTTAGTCGTTACTGTAGTAATAGTTTGCGTTACCACATTGTCACCGTCTTTAATTATCTTTGTAACAGTGTCGGTTTCTGTTTTTATTTTCCCCATGGTTTGTATTAAAGATAAAGTATCTTCATCTTCTTTGTCGCTTTTAAGTGTTTTCGGTACTTTCTCAGTTGATGTTGAAATTTTTTGAGTTAAAACGTCTTCGCCGACATGAACAATTTTGGTTATCGTTTCTTCAGCTCCCTGTAATTTGTCATATTTCACTTCACTTTGAACACCGTCAGCCAATTTTAGGTCTTGTAACGTACTAGACACTTTCGGTAGGGGGCTAACTGGTACCGTAGGTGGAGTTGAAACTCTATCAACTTTTGAACTAAAGTATTCAAAATCTTCTGTTTTTATTCCCTGTTGTATGCTTTCGTCTTTAAATGCTGCATGAATAGTTTTAACAAGCTGCGACTCAGCAGCTTGTTTAGGCGTTCCACCAATTGACTTATCTTTTATGTGTTCTGAGGTATGAACACGATGCAGTTTAGAACCAAATGAATCGATACTGAACTGTTGTTGTTGGTGTTCTACTTGAGATAGTGCAATATTAACATCTGACAATGGCCCTTCTTGAGTGCTATCGACAAAACTTGAATGTTGACTGCTTGTAGATTGATATGAATCACTGTAGCTGCTAAATTCACTAGTTGTTACTTTATAACCACCAGCCGTTTTCCTTGCCTGGTCTACCATTTTTTCAGATTTTTCTGAAGTCTCAAAACTATATTTTTCTTCTACACTGACATCTTTTGAAATGTCCTCAGAACTAATGCCGTGCTTTAAGTTATCGGTAAAGCTGTCCCTATCAATGATTCCACTATCGATCGTAGACAAAGAACCCAATTTATCATCACTGTCTTTCATGCTTTGGAATCCAATGTCGTATTCTGAATAGAAACTTTTTTCTTTCTTAAGCATTTCTTCAGTTTCTTTTATTTGCTTTGCGAATGGCGATTTAGTGGTAAAATCATCTTGTGAAATCTTATCTTTCGGAGATAAGGTCTTAAGTTCAGAACTTAAAGAGTGACAATTATCTAAATCAAATGTGTCTTTTGTGTCATCTTCCAAACTTGATTTAGGTGACTGGAAGTGACCATTGACGTAAACTGTCTTACTCATTGTTTCATTGACAGCCGTTCTATCATTATCAACTGTTTGTTCAGTGGGTAATGCAATCTTTTCGTCCTTTGTTGTAAAAGCAAGACTTTGTTTCGAAATTTCAGGAGAAGGCGTTTTCTCTTTCACAAGTTTGTCTATAGGCGTCTTTGCATCAATAACAGCTGGAATTAGTTTTTCGATCTTGTCATCAGTTAGTAACGATTTTTCGAATTTACCCGTCTTATCAGCATGGCTTACTGTTTTGTCTTTAACATGTTCGACAATAGTGGTTTGTTCTGGTTTTGCGGCCTTATCGACAGGGCTTCGGATTTTGTCTTGTGAGATTTCGTCGACAGTAGGCTTTTCAGACACAGTAAGTGGTTCTGGTTTTTCGGCCTTAACCTCCTTGTCCGTCGGGCTTGGTTTTTTCTCCTTGATAAGTTCGTCAACAGTGGGCTTTTCAGACACAGCAAGTGGTTCCGGTTTTTCAGCCTTAACCTCCTTGTCCGTCGGACTTGGTGTTTTCTCTTTGACAAGTTCATCAACAGTGGGCTTTTCAGACACAACAAGTAGTTCTGGTGTTTCGGCCTTATCGACAGGACTTGGGGTTTTGTCTTTTGAGATTTCTTCTACAGTGGTCTTTTCAGACACCGCAAGTTGTTCTTGTTTTTCGGCTTTATCGACAGGGCTTGGGATTTTGTCCTTGACAAGTTCGTCATCAGCAAAATTTTCAGACACCGCAATTGGTTCGGGTTTTTCAGCCTTATCCACAGGGCTTGGAGTTTTGTCTTTTGTGATTTCTTCTACGGTGCGCTTTTCAGACACTGTAAGTGGTTCCGGTTTTTCAGCCTTAACCTCCTTGTCCGTCGGACTTGGTGTTTTCTCCTTGACAAGTTCTACAACAGTGGACTTTTCAGACACAGCAAGTGGTTCCGGTTTTTC